CTTAGTAATTAGACTGATTCGCGATGCCTACTCGGCAATGGCTTTGTATATTCATATCAAACGCACAACCCCAATACAAACAATAAATTGATACATTTTAATATCGATGAGATGAAAAATTTATTTGATTGTGTGTTAAACTATTCGAATATACATGGTATCAAAATTAATTTTTGTAGTAGTAACTTCATAACATGCAGAAGCGACTTGGCTATCAGTATTCTCCTCCACTTAATTCTGTTACCTGATTTGTATCATGAGTGAGTCTATAATTCTTTGTATGATCGGTAATAGGTTCAGCATCCATTGTCTGATTGAAGCTCTGTGGGGGGACCGAACATTGAAAAATGTCTTGCTAATTTCTTATTAATCGTACTGCCCTCTTTGTCTTTGAGCGGAATAACCCAGACATAACGTGAGAATACATCAATCATCGTGAGAATGTAATTATAACCATCATTATGTTCGGCAAAAGAAAGAAGATCGACAAGGTCCATCTGGAGACGTTATAATGGAGCACTGGCGATGACTGGCATTATATCGGTTTTTTCTTTGATTGATACGTTTCGGATACGAGTAGGGCACTTTCGTAGAACTCTTTGACTTCATTTTGTGTAATTCCGATGTGTTTCTCGTATAGCATAGTGTATGTTTTATGGTATTCGAAATGAGAGGGACCGCCATGGAATTTCTCTATAAGAGCTCTCGTAACTCCTTGTCGTAAGTCGGGATTAATCGTCTTTTGATCGGTTGAGACTTCATCGTCACTTGATCGGTTAATCAACCTTGCTTGCAATTGAATGTCAGTGTACGATCTTGGTATTTGTCTGCCTTCAATATCGTCGGCGGTCCAAGCCTTCCTGCTAGTCTTCATACCGTTATCATAGTCGTTAGAGAGGAAAGGTTTATCATGTAGTCTTTGTTATCAGGAGAGAAGTTAAATGCCACTGCATATTACGTTCTTCTTCTTCATATCTTTGCATATAGATTGATTCTTGGAGGAAGTGTACACCTATGCACAAGTAACCTTTTGGGTTCAACTATGGTGCTGTCAGTGGGCCGCTCTCAGCTCGATTGTGGAATTGAGGGCTGGTGGGTTGTCCTGAGAAGAGGTTCGAAACGGCATTGCGGTAACGAAGAGGTTATTAGGTGATGTAGAGAGGTGGGAGATGGAGAGCTAGAGTCGTCGTCTTCGTAATTGGTGCAAACTACGCCAAGAAAGTTTTCTGATCGAGTACAACCTCTCGTAACGCCCACTTGTAGTTGATAATATACATATTAATATGTTGGGACTATTACTATATACAGTATTTATACTAAAAGTGAAAAAAAAA